TCGAATAATCGTGTCTCCTCTTCCCAAATTGTCCATTTTTGTGGACAACCCGAGCGTCGATTAGAAAGACATTACTGTAGTACCCGTTCTCTTTATTCGCTCGTATTTCTCCGAATATTTGGCACCGGAATACTTTCCGGTTGTCGCAATTTTTCCTACGCCTCCATAATTTATCACCTAGTCCGTAGAATGTTTTCCCAAGCTTCCCGATTCTTTTCCCGGGCCGTACTATTTTTTATTCGAGGCTCTCGTAACGTTTGTCGCAGACTCTAAAACGACGGTCCAGGTTCGACTATTTTAATAGCAATAATTATCTCGATAATTTGTTGCGGCGTTGAAATTTTGTTCGCAGGTCTCCCAAGTCTTTGGAAGGTCGTACGATCTCTTTTCACAAGTCCTTTAACTCCGCGGCAGAACTTCGATATTTCTCGCGAATCCAATAAGTTTCTCGCGAGAATTAAAACTGCTCGTTTTTATAGCTTCCGATTGTCAAGGATTATAAAAACGAGGCGCGAGGCTCGAATAATCTTGTCTTCTCTTCCCAAATTGTCCGTTGTTTGTAAGCACGCTATAATAAATTCTCCCCAATTGACGCTCAGATTATACGGTAATGTCTCTCTAATCGACGCTCGGATTGTCCACGAAAATGAACAATTTCGAACAATAGTCACGAATCGTCAACGACTATAAAAACGAGCCGCAAGATTCGAATAATCGCATCTCCTCTTCCCAAATTGTCCATTTTTGTGGACAATCCGAGGGTCAATTAGAGAGACATCACTGTATTCCGTTCTTCAAATAAGAAGCAAGACTGTCATTCTCTCTTCGTGGCTCCGAGATTTCTTCGCGGACGAATTACTGTCGTTCCCGGCGACGAGCGGACCTGAAAAAAAATTGAATGAGAATGCAGGAGGGTACCAAAGGGTACGGTTCCCGCCATCGATAGGCCCCGCCCGATGAAAAGAAATCAAACGTGTNCAAATTGTCCATTTTTGTGGACAATCCGAGGGTCAATTAGAGAGACATCACTGTATTCCGTTCTTCAAATAAGAAGCAAGACTGTCATTCTCTCTTCGTGGCTCCGAGATTTCTTCGCGGACGAATTACTGTCGTTCCCGGCGACGAGCGGACCTGAAAAAAAATTGAATGAGAATGCAGGAGGGTACCAAAGGGTACGGTTCCCGCCATCGATAGGCCCCGCCCGATGAAAAGAAATCAAACGTGTCTCGGTCTCGAGGCTCGAATAGCCGGCTTCTAGTTGAATAGCACCTGATTGTAAGACGCGTATACGTTCAGACGCAAATTAGTAAGTCGGGTTGCTGCTATCCGCTGCTGCCTCGCTTTGCCTCGACGATCTGAGCGTCAATTAAAGAGACATTTCTGTATATTCTTAAACAATTTCACGCTCCCTTTTCCTCTTACGCGTTCTTCGTATAAAAGCAAAAGTTAGTCGATGAAAATTGTAGATTCTATCGCGATTCTATATTATAGAATTCCAAAATGCTTATTTTCGCGTTATAGTCGACAATCGTGTTATACGAAATCTATCAACGATCCCTGATCAACGATCCCCTAACGGATAAGGCCGTCTCGCGAACAGCTAGAGGCGGAGATGGCGGTGAAGATCGCTTGAAATAAAGTCCCAGATTGAAATGTCGAACGGTGATGTCTCTCTCAAGAATTCAATTGGTCGCCGTTTAATCGATAGCCGATGCGATTCGTTGCGATAAGATCCGATCCGATCCGATGCGATTCGATGCGACGCGATAAATCGTTCGAACGTAAGCGCGCGCGCAGGCTGCGATCGCATCGGCTAAAGAACGGCCCCTGGCATGCCGGCCGGTTCACCGCGAACAGCCTCCTCTTAATACACTTAAGTGTAAAATAGCTCGCATAGCTTAATTACACTGCTTGCCCCGGTTTGGACGTCTGCACGGCCGCACGCCTGCACGCACCGCCCACGCAACACGTCTTCTTCGGCCACGATCTCGTCTCCTTCGGCACCTGAGACCCGTTATCTCGCCACTTACGCGTAATTACTTCCGTTTAATGCGATAGCATTCGTTCAGAAGCTCGGCTTATTCGATTCAATTTCGATGTTTCCACGCTGCTCCGTAATCACCGCGTTACACGGTAATGTCTCTCTAATTGGCGCTCGGATTGTCCGTAAAAATGGACAATTTCGGGAAGAGGAGACGCGATTGTTCGAGCCTCGCGCCTCGTTTTTATAATTGTTGAAAATCGGTGACTATGTAAATGTGCCTCGAGACTCGAAAAATCCTATCTCCTCTTCCCGAATTGTCCATTTTTGTGCACAACCTGAGCGTCAGTTAGCGAGACGTTACTGTACATGCGTGCGATGCATCTACAGGGTGTCCTTCCTTAGGTCATTCGAAGCAACTTTTTCCTTTAGAAAAATTTTCTCCGAGACACCGTTAACGAGTTATCAACGAAAAACAGTGACCAACGAGAGGCGAGCTCGGCTGGCGCGAGGCGACCGAGCCAATGAGCGGAACCGGGCTTCGCGCGCTGGTTGGCCGGGCCGCCTCGCGTCAGCCGTACTCGATTCTTATTGGTCACTGCTTTTTTTTGTTAATAACTCGTTAACGGTGCCTCGGAGATAATTTTTGTAAAGGAAGAAGTTGCTTCAAATTGAATAAATAACTCGCGAATGTATATTTACGATACGAATAATCGTAAATGAAAAAATTAGTGAGCAAAAAAATTAGTAATTTAAATCTGGCGTTGATAACTCGTAAACGAAGCCGCGGATTACATTTTCGCAAAGGAAAGTGTAACCTCGAGAACCTCTCGTTCCCCGATCGCGACCGACTTTTGGGACACCCTGTACTTCGAATAAGTTACGAACGAGCTAGGGTACGGAGAGATATCGAGTCCCATTGAGAATTCTGCGGCCACGCCCGCTCCGACCGCTCGGTAGAGCCGTTCCACCGACGAAAACGGCAACGACCGGTTCGGAGATCGTCGAACACGGGGGTGGAAAAGACCGATAATCAAATTGGTTTCAGCATGTCGCCGCGTAATGGCTCGTGCGTGGCGGAAGTCAGCTCGGTGAGGAGTTTATCGTCGGACGATGTGTCCGCGACGAAGACGAACCGGAAGAAAACCTGGTGGGCGCGTGCCACCGATCCTGCTCACCGCCGTGGAAGGCGTATCCAGCTGCTGCAGATGCTGATCCTGCCGTTTATACCGATCCTGGCGCTGATCGTCCAGACGGCCAACACGCTCCACGACATCCTGATCTACCGGCAGGAGGTCTCCGACATCGAGTCCCAGGTAAACGAACGCTTCTCCGCGATCGTATCGGGATCCTCTTCGAACCTCCCCCGCGTCGCAGTTTATTCGACGCCGATACAACGGCCGGGTTACGAACCTTCGTTTCTCCTGCAATTAGTTTTCTGCAGACATTTTCTGATTCGCCCCGTCGCCACAGTGGTACAAAAGCCTGAAATCATGGCCAAAATCCCAAAAATCGAAGTTGTCGTCGAGGAGTTTTTCACTTACGGATCGGTTAGTTCAACGATGCGTCCGTGCGGCGGGAAAAACGAAATGACCCATACTTTCGAACCCGATCGACAATTGCGCTTCGAATTTCGAGTTTGTCGGGCAGTCGTTGCTCGCGAGCGCGACCGACGGTACGAAGCGGATAGTTTCGAGCGCGTGTCTTTTTGTGGAAATGTTTTCTTTCGATCGTGTCAAATGGACATCGTTCCCGGTGATAAGTACGACATTTTGTACCGCTAACGTCTCGCGAATCGTTAACTGTTACGTTGGTAAATCGATAAATCGTAGATTCAAATGATAAGAGCGAACGGAACGCGTTTACCGTAAAGTTATAGTCGAAACTTTTGCGGCTTACGAGGGCCTGCTTTCGAACTTACCGGAGCCATAGTTCACAGTTTCGTCTAGCTGCGCTTAAAAGATTGGCCGCACCGCGTTGCACTTTTTTCGGTTGCATCCATTTTTGCGAGTCAACGTACGGGAAACTGTCTCGCGAGAGTATCCAAGACGGAACAACTTTCTACGAATCGTGCCAAATTGCTTGCACCGTTTCGAGATGTTGG